TCTGAGCATTTGTCTCAATTACTGTAAATCAAAGAGAAAAAGGCCTTGAAAAAATAAAGAACTTGTTTTGAATCTCACAAGAATATTCTGAGCAAGCTAAATATGTTTCAATGGCCTTCAATGTTGTGATATCTTACAAAACCTGGGCTGTCTGCAATCAAGTTATATCAAAGACATGACTATTGCTATTTTCAATTTGTATAATCTAGCAATTAATTTTTTATATCACAGATTGTGATTCCATTGTTTATGTTCCACTTTTCTATCCCTTATCATATTAGTTTAAGAAAGAAAAGCCAGTATGAATAACTTGCAGTGTTTTTATTATTACATATGGCTTGGTGTCATTTGAGACAAGCCTGTGAATAATAATTATATTAGTTTTCTCCTAAGCATATTACTGCTATTTTGATTGTGGAATATTATTACAAACTGAAGCAAGTTCAAAGAAAGCTTGAACGATAACTTAATATTTTCTCCATAATTAAAAAAAAACAGATCTTAACTAACAGTTAATTAGCTATGTTTCTGCAAATAAACTTAAGTACCACTCTTATAAAGTGATATGTTCTGTTGTGATTAATAAAGTGCAGAATTCTAATTCAATTATTTTATAGATTCTAGTCAACAAATTTTCTCTCTATATTTAAAGTAAAATGAGGTACTTATTTCAAATGATTCTCAATATGCTAATTGCAATATATATTCCTAAAATAATATTGCAGACTATAATATTTTCCTTGAGTTTTAAGCTTATTATAACTATTCAAGTGAGGGAGAAAACATTTTAAACCTCTGGAAAACAATTCTAAGCTGCTTTTTATATTGTAATTCAATTATTCCTATCACCAATATGGAAAGAGTAAGCAGGACACATTCTTAACCTTGAAAGTTACCACAGTGTATTCAGAGGTTTGTCAGATAAAATACAAGTTTTGTAACAACTGAAACAGATTTTTCTAAATGTAGAACTTCTGTGCATCATTCAGTGTAGCTGCTTGTGTGGGTTAAGTGCTTACCTACCCATGGACTAAAAGCAGGGGTGTCAAACTGCCAGCCCACAGGCCGAATGCATCATAGCGAAACTGCACTCACCCCATTGCCGACAATGGCAAAAAAGTCACGATACATCGCGACATGTCACGTGACGTTGCGAGTTTGACACCCCTGGACTAAAGGATTAGTGGTTCATTAGAATGACTACTCCCTAAATATGTATCATGACTATCAGGTGAATGAAAATTTATTAATTTAATTTAATTTAATTTAATTTAATATCCTCACATTTCTGAGGTTGCACGTTCCAGTTTATTAACTTTACATTAGTTTTAACAATACAGGTGAGTTTTTTTTACAGATCCTCACAAGCAATGGTTTATTATGTGTTGCTATGTATGTTTTGCTTCTTGTTTCATTACATTTCATGTGTCTTCCAGCATAGTCTTTCTTACCAGTTACAAATACAGATAGGCCATGTTTAGTACAAGTTTGAATGATATGATATTCAATTTAGTGCAAAGTGTAAATTGATACCAGACTGCAATTGAATGCAACCCAAAATTCAGTTAATGCAAGGCTGGTGTGTGCAGAATTGAGACTAGCACACATGCATTTGCAGTTGTGGTTTTAAGAACTGCTGATCTTTTGTGTGTGCAAAATGGAGAAAAGAGAGAGTCTGTCAGTAAAGGTTAAACAAAGAAAAGGCCCATTATTACACTAAAGCTACAATTTGATGTGATTGAATGACATGAACGTCAAGGCTACAATAAAATGTTGGAATGCCTGAATCTGCAATATAATTTTTTTGTTTTATTTTGTTTTTGGTAATTAATCTGAGACTTTGTAAACCATAGTTTTAAATTGTGAGTATATTCTTTATATCCT